GGCAGCAGCAAGCCATCGTTTTAGAACACTGACAACAAGACAACAACAAAACAAAAAACAACATAACATAAAAGAGAATTGATAAGAGATTTTTTTTTATATATATGTATACATACATATGTATTAACGAATAAGACAAAAGCTTCAAAAGACATTATCGATTAAAGCACTGCTTGCAGCATATTTTATATAAGAAGTGCATATATGCATACATACATATACATATGAAAAAAAAATATTAAAAAAATACAAAAATCATAAAAAGACAAAAGATAAAGACGCTCAACAAAAGAATTTAGCAAACACATGGCACTTTAATTCATCTCCAATAATTAGAAAATCCACTAATTTTATAAACAAACGAAATACACAACACACACACATTTACACTATAGATACTTACAAGCATGTACTTAATATTTGAATAATTGTATGGCAACTATTTACTTAAAAAAAAAAGTTTCTTTGTTTATTTTAAGCTTAGCGATTTAATTACTTAAGTAACTAAAATATTTATTATAATTAATCGAATAAATGTTGATATACAATATTTTTATACAAAACAAAACTATTTCATGTATGTATATTTTGTGTGTTTTATGTTAAAACTGGAAAACAAAACAAAAAAAAAATGGTGTGTGCTCATCCGCTTCTTTTAGTTAACGCTATAACCACTTAGCGGCCGCTGTGGTGTAGTAGTTAATCAGTACTTATCATCGTGGAGACACTGAATTTTCCCGACAGTGCATTGAAATCGCCAAGCAAGGTTTTCATGTCGATTTTTATAGCACCTGGCAAGTTTTACTAAGATAAGTATTATTTTTCACTGCGTGAGCTCAAATAGGATAGTGGGTCTTCCTAGACATACCCACTAGAATCGAGAGATCCGGCTTAGCGCGTCTCGGCCAGAATGACCTCGCTGTAGCACATGCCCTGGTTTTCCCCAGAGTTTGCTGAGTTGACCCGAGGCCCAGCTTTACAATAGCTGTCCACAAATAGTCTCTCTCTTTTTTTGGCGATCTTACCTCGAAATAACCGCCTTTGGCCAGTTAATCAGCCACACAGTTTCCTACGATATCACTATGGCCTGGAAACCATACACGTCTGACAAAGCAATATTCTGACGCGACCGAAGGTTAATNTTAACGCATTCCCTTACGATCTTCGTTTGCCGACAGTCGGGTATACGTAACCGCTCACCTACCTACTCAGATCTACATATATCTGGCCAACGACTGTCACACCAGCTGATTCCCCAAAAACAGTTTGGCTATTTTTATGCTGCTGTTACTAAAACATAACCTAGTAAATACACCATAGACCAGGTTATTCACCCTTTGGTGTGTTCGGATGGTTTATGCTCCTTTTCCGGCTATTATCGGGTAACCATGGAACTACAAGCTGTATGAGGCTTAAAACACAGACATAGGCCCGCTTTCCTGGCCTCAGGCTTGTCGAGTCGGAGGATGGAGATGACCCATGGCGAAACCCCGGGGGGTTCATCACGGTTATAAATACAAAACCTAGTAAATCCACCGTAGACCAGGTGTTCGGATGTTTTACGGTCTTTTTCCGGGGAGTACCGGGGATTATGGAACGACGAACGACATCGAGATTGTGCAGCGAATAAAAATACAGCGACTACGCTGGCTAGAACATGTCTTACGAATGGAAACAAATGCTTCAGCCGTGAAGGTATTCTATGCGCTAACCGTTGAGGAATCCTTCTCTGTGTTGGCAAGATCAGGTGGCGAGAGCCTTGGACTCACTTGGAGTTTCTAATTGGCCCATTTAGTAAGAAGAAACCACTGGTATGTTTTGTTGCGCTCGGCCAAATCGCATAGGCAGTTACAGCGCCAATCAATTTGATCACTACATTACCGCAAAAGCCGTAATTTTCGCTTGAATTTCAATACAAGAAATTTTAGAAAAATTCTTTCATTCTTTATTAATTCTTCGTTTGTTCATGTCTACAAATGTTAGTTAATATTTTGTCATTTTAAATTGCATACTCGTATAAAGCTGTACATATTTACAATATTGGATAATAGTCTATAAGACTATATAGCACTATACAATTCACAGTGTATTTTGTCATTTAAGGAATTTATCACAACCAAAGCTTAATAAGTACTTAAGGGTGTATTATAGCAGACTTAAATATTTCTGTTGAACATAATTCAATAATGGCAAACTACATAATTAACTATCAATTATACTTAAGTAACTGGTGGCGATAAAATTCAGCAACAAAATGCAATATTACAAAATAAGCAACAATTTAGTTTTTTTTTTTTTTTTTTTTTTTGAAACAAAGACTTTCTGAAACATCTTAACAAATTAAGTTAAACTTTTAACTTCATAGTTATAACATATAACGTACGTATATACATTATATACATTATATACATATGTCCTATTATGTAATTTATCTGCATTTGAGATTAATTTAATATGTATGTACTATACGTTTTTTGTATCGTTATTTCCCCACAGTCGTCGAGTGTATGATCATGGCAAAGGTGCTCATTATAAACAATGCCGCCGGTATCGAGGACAATAAGTTGTATGTTTCATCGGTTATTTGGCGGCTGGTTTTCTTAATTACCCAACCCATACTGCGCTCCACAGCACGCTTCCATTTGCTATAGCGATGATGCCGTTCATCATCGGTGCTCGTTGGTAAGAAGATATCATAGTCCACCACATCATAAGCCACTTCGTCCGGATGAAAGTCAAACAAATCAATACCTTCCGCTTGCGCTGCGCACAATGCCGCACCGAATGTCGTCGTGTCCGTCAATTGTGAACGAAAAACGTTAGTCCAGCAGTATCAGCCTGCAGCTTGCATAAGTAAATCATTCATGCTGACCGAACCATCTGCATGCAATTTATTCAGATGAAATCCGCTCTCCTGATGCATGCACTCCAGTATGTCGCGTGTTTGAAAACATATCGCCTCCAATGCTGCGCGCACTATGTGATGTTTTGTTGAGTATTGTGTCAGTCCAATGATCAAGCCACGTGCATCCTTTCGCCAATAGGGTGCATAGAGACCGGTAAAGGCCGGTACAAAATATACATCCCCGTCGTTGCCACCTCCTCGGCGCTCTTTTCTGCATTCTTGTAGTCTTTTAACACACGCATGCGTGTCTCTAGCCAACGTAGCGCGTGTCCGCCCACTGCCACAGAGCCCTCTAGCGCATAATGGCCGGCTTATTGGGACCCAACTTATAGGCGACGGTGGTGATAAGACCATGCGCGAAATAACTGGACGTTCGCCAATATTACAAAGCAGAAAGCAGCCAGAACGATAGGTATTTTTCGCTTGACCTGGCTTCACACACATCTGACCCAGCAGTGAAGCGTGTTGATTGCCCAGAATGCCACTAATCGGTACACCAGTGAGTACACACCTGTCGCTGGTGATGAGCCCATAAATTTCAGACTGCTGCGTATCTCTGGCAATATACTTTTGTCAATTTTGAAAGTACGCAACAGCTGTGGATGCCAATGCAGTGTATCGATATCCATTAGAAGTGTACGTGAGGCATTTGTACATCGGTTATGTGCAATGCGCCTGAATTACATGCAATTTCAAATAGTAAATTATTTTCAAGAGATAATTTATTTAATAAATGTATTGCTGAGTAAAGTTAACGCACCTTTAGTAAGATTCCAGACAATCCATGTGTCAATTGTGCCAGCCTTACAAAAGCCCTCGCGGTGAACCCTCCTCACTTCGGCCACATTATCAAAGAGCCAACGCAATTTCAACGCTGAGAAGTATGGCGAAACTGGCAAACCGGAAATGTGCTTGAAATGATTTTTGTCTTGATTATCCAATTTTGAGAGCACTCTATCCACACACTGCTCACTGCGCATATCCTTCCAAACGAGCGCATTGTATAGCGGCTGTCCAGTGCGTGAGTCCCAAAGCAACTGTCGTTTCTCCGCTGATTCGTTACGCCAATACAATTGATATCTGCGACGCTGTAACCCAATTCAGGGTAGCTGAGCACAGGCTTTTTCACAGCATTCATAAATGGCATCCATCAGTTCAGTGGATTTTGTTCATACCAACCAGCCTGTGGCGTGATCATCGTCAACTCAATTTGATAACTTTGCCACTTCTTTGAAAAAGGCACCGAGTATAAGGAGAACTGCACGCTACTGGTACCCTCATCGATGACGCCAACGAGACTCCGACCGGTGGTAGTAGGATTTTGAGAGGTAATTATACGGCGTTTCGGACGCAATCGACAGGCGTTTGCCTTCCGTCATGTCTGCTATGTCTTGCCGTGACTAACGAGTTAGCTGGTTCTCAACGATTCAAACAGATTTTGAGTCACACTACGCCGACTGAAATTTAAAGATAATGAATTATTGAAAAAAAAAGTCCAAAATATATAGAAATTCGTATCTGGATAAACTGAACGGGGCAAAGGTTTGTATGGTACACATACATATGTAATTTAACTGCATGTGTTTGTATGTATGTACATATTTTTATTTATTTTGGGAAACTCGATTGATGACACATGTATATGTATAACGTGTACTCACAGCTGTTCTAGTTTTATCATATCCTAATCACAGGCTTATAAAGCATTTCGTAGCGGAATATACTCCCCATGTCATCAATTCAGACTAATAGTCTACTATTCGTACTACAACATGTAAGTGTTAGAATTGCAAATGTCGCAAGTCTGGTTTTATATGTTACATTAATGCTGCTTAGCGAATTTATGTATCTACAAATGTTTTACACTTTCTGTTGGTGTTGGCTCTTCTGTTTAAATAAAAAAAAAAAAATGGGAGTGACTCAGACGAGCCTCCATTTGACGAGAGCGTTAACATTGCATGTCGCATATACATGTATGTATGTATGTACATTAGGGTGGGAAAAAATTCTCTTCAGAATTCTTTAAAAAATAAAACTATAATGCGAATTTTACTAACTATTTTTTCATAACTGATTTTTGTATATTAGAGACTAATATTATAGGTTATGAAAAAGTGAGTTGTAAAACTTTAAAGTTAAATATTCGCCATAACACTATGTTTTGAAGTTCACTGAAAGGAAATAATTTTATTCGATCTAAAAACACTTATTTGTCCTTAATGAATTTATAGCAATTCTATGACACAGTTTATTCTCCCCAGCAAAACGTGAAGTTGGAAACTTCACAGCCAGGTCGCACAGTGGTGGCAAGCTGGATTTCACTATTCGGAATAGTTTAGGGCCTTCAATTTTTAACCGATTTGATTGAAGAGTTCGCTGTTTGGTTTTTAACAATTTGTTTTGACTGTGCTAGCCATTTTCCTCTATATGCACAAAAGTGTGCTCGAAATGTCAGCAAAAAAGAAATACTAAAAATCAACGCGAATTCTTCAGCTACAAGAAACTTGCACTTTATTGCACTTAAATGTAATAGACAAAAACTGACCTACAACAGTTTTCTAAAATTTCGTAAAAAAAAATGTATTTTTTGCAGTTTTTATTAAATGGGTTTTTTTTTTAATTAATATAGTTGTTTTCAACTTCTTTTCACTATGTATAATTTATTTTCTCTCACTTACAACAAAAAATTTTATTTCAATATACTTCACTAATAAAAAAAAGTTATCAGAATCGGTTGAAAAATGAAGGCCTTTGAGTATTTTCAACAGAAATTCTAGTTTGCGTACCACTGTGCAGCGGCATGATTAAATATTAACCGATTTAAATTTAAAAAAGGCGGGGCTACTTATTTTCGGATGTTCATTAGTTTATATTTGGACCTCCCTAATGTACATGAGAATACATATATGAATATATACCTACATGTATGAAATGAAATGAAATATATATACATATGTAGACGCCATACGAGCGAGCAAACCTTGTATGTATATGCGCATAAACCATATAGTAAATAAAACTATCTCTGAGCAAAAACTGCACTAATAGTCTACTTTGGGTAATTAACACTCTGCTACATTATTTCCAAAGCCAATTGACTAGCTTTAATCTGTTCGATTGCGGGCTTTGTGGATGCAATATACAACATGCAACTAGCGCAGTTTGCAATTTATTTGGTGTGTTATATAAAATGTATTTTTTTTATTTAATCGCACTATTTTTTCCACGGTGTGCATCTATTTAATATTTTTAGCATATGTATGTTATACATAGGTTTTTGTTTTATATGCATGCATGTATGTATGTATGTATGAGCATACGTTGTGATCACGTACCTTTTTCATTTGGACGTAAACAAATTATTTATACACATTTATTTACAAACTAATTATTTATACAAATTTTTTTTTACGTTTAGAGTACTTTTTCGCAAAAATGTACATGCAAGCATACGTCACACGCATACATACATGTAGAAATGTTAGCAATCCGGTGAATTNTTTTTGGTTTTTTATTTTTTTTTTTTTTTTTAATATTATTTTCTGGCAGCGAAATAAAAAACTTAAACGGAAACCAAACAAAAAATAAATCACAATTGTGAAGTCATGGCCATTCAAGATAAAAAATTTAAAATCAATCTCAGTACATTTTTTTTTTAATCCTGTTAAAGTCGCCATGGTAAATAGAACAGAAATTTCAAAGTGCTTGCCAAAAATTTGAAAAAATTTCCAAGATATAAATATTTTGCAGAAATTGTACACATTATAGAGGGAGGAAGGGATAAGAAGTACATACATAGAAAGCACGTAAACTTAAATAGAGGGTGGTGCATAGCGTGTTTTTGTTTCTAGCATAATATTTTGAAATTTTAGAAAAACACACCCCTTTATTTCGCAAACGCTTTAAAAGTTTTAAAAAGCATTTTGAATTTTTTGAATTTGCAAACTTTAAAAAAAACTGTTAAGCATTTTTTGGTTAAGAAAACTGTGTTCGTATTGGAAAACAGCCCACTGAATTATAAAACTTTTAAGTTTTCAAATATTTTGAACTAGTCATTAAAAAAGTATATTCGAAATTTTTTTTTTATTTCTAAAATTAAAAAAAAAATAATCTAAAATTTAAAGTTTTTGAAATTTTGAAAAAATTTAAAATTTTTGCAAACAGTCGAATTTTGTCTTTAAAATTGCTGGGAAAATTTAGTTTGAAAAGACTGTGTATTTTGAAAAACCAATGCAGCAAATTTAGAAAGTCAAAAAGATATTTTTCGTAAAAGGTTTCCATGCAGCCAACATAGATAGCTGGCGGTTATTTCCACAAACTTAACTCGAAAAAAAGTCAATTATGGCACTCTTGCAGCAAATTAGCGATATGTATATATTTCGAATTAGGGTAGACCGGTTTCAGATACTGAAATTCCACCAAAAATCATTGAATGAAATCGCACACATTTTACTTAGAATATTATCAATGAATAGATGTACAGTGGCGAAAATATAAATAGCGACATTTTAAAAAGTTTTGGCTTTTTTTTTTTTGCTAATTTAATGATAATTATATTTTTATGAAATTATAGAATCTAAAAAATTTGGAAAATTCGACAAAATTTCATCACTTAATAAACAAAAGATATGTAAATAGCCTGCTTTTGTTAAATATTGCGTCCCTATTTATGTTTTCGTTACCGTATTTACATACATACATATGTGATAAAAACATAAGAACACTGCGGTTGTTCACGCTTGCCTGGTTATCAGCTTATGTGGTTATATTTTTATATTTTCAGTTTACAACAATAAAATACACTACACAATAATAATTTTTAACCAGATAACCTGATAAGCAGGCAAGTGTGAACAACCTCACTTTTAAATAGAGTGTTTCAAAAAAATTTATCCAATGCTCAAATCTGCCACACCTCCTGCGCTATAATGTATACTTTAATTGCTTTCCTTTTTTGCAACAAGAAGCAGAACAAGTCAAACCTACTTAGCAGTTCACTTGTTTTTTTTTTTTTGTTGTTGTTGTTATTCGAATATTGCACAAAAATATTAAAACACTACCCCCCTCCCACCCCACATACATATACATACATGAAAACCTGTTTTTAAAATTGCAAGCACCAAAACGCGGGTATGTAAATGGAACTTCTGCCAAGCACAATTATTTTAAAACCTTCTACTGTATGCCATGTAAACAATTGCAATAGGAGTGAAGTTCATTAAAACTCGTGCTGGCAGAGCAAAAAAAAAATTAAAAAAAAAAAAATGCGAGCACAACAAAAGCACAAAACACTTGCATGAACTTACATATCAACTAAGCTCACAACTGTGTTCACTGCTCAGGGTAAAGTACAAACTCCGCCTAATTACATGGAATGTATGAACTTCTGCGATCGATAAGAATAGCGGCTGACGCATATATGTATGTACATATGTATGTATATTGTATGTATGTATATTTACGATCGTTCGTTGTTTTTATTATATTTTTTTTTTTTTAAGACCAAAGATAATAAACTGAAAAAAACGCTAATTGATATGCGTTATTTACGTCGACTTTTATTTTTATTTTTACTTTTATTTTTTTTCGTGTATGACACTAATATGCTGCGCTTATAAACCGCAATGCACGTCCATCCACCAGCTATGTCCAACACCAACTGAGGAGCGCATTTGTCCGACAAATACACGGATAGCGCCAATTTTTCGAAAGCAGTGACGTTTAGCTCTGAATGATCGCCAAACGAACGACAAATGGTGGGAGCAAAGCGATGGAATTTTTTTCTTTTATTTACAATAACAGCAGCTGCAGTGCAATTTTTAATGAGAATTGTGCAAGTAATGCAGATAAGGAAAAATGTCGATGCCGATTGGTGATATTGGTATTGGAGAGGGCAATGGTGGCAATGGTGGCAATGACGACAGCGACGGCAATGTCAATGACAAGAAGGATGCTATTCATTCGAACAACTACATATGTACAGGGCGGACGGACAATAAAATATACGATCTTCCGAAAGAGAAAACAAAAATCTGCTAGACACACAACGGGACAGATAGCAAACAGCCAGCGAATGAGGAAGGTGTGGGTGAAAGTGGTATTTACAGTGGCGTGGGAAGAAGCTGGATGAAGCAGAGGAGAGTAGTTGGCAGCATGAAACAAATCATAGCCTGCATTCGGTATGACAGCAATTCAAGTGAAAAAACTAAAATTTATTTCGGTAGCATAACATTTAGCTTTGGTGATACGATAACAATTTCATACTATTGCGCTTGCTTGATGAACATCTGAAATACATATATGTTTACCATATAATCTAGTATTTGCTTTGAAAACAAATATTTAGTAGCTAAAGAAAAATTTATATTTGGAAGTTCACATCTCTACATCCGCCACTTTATGTTGGGCTTAAATAATAAGTTTTAGCGTTTATTGGACTTATTGATTTCCGCAAATCCATTATTAAAACTCTTGTTAATGTTGTGTTGAATCGAATAATACGAATCTCGCCGTCGATTATTCGATTACAAGAATCGTAAGGATTAAATAAGATTCGAGAATCGAGAATCGATTATTTTTCATCCCTACTTTCCATCCCTATTTCCTTATTGTTTTAAGGCTTGGCTGAGTGCATACATATCAACATTAGTATTTTAGCAATTTTACAGCAAGCAGGCAAGAACGATAAGGGATATACTCTGGAGGTATGTATAGCGTAAAAGTAATGGCCCATCTTATCTTAAAACGAATGTTTCATAAATTAAACGTGTTTAAGCGAAACACACTTTTGTTGATTATTATTTTATTTGTGTATGCACATAAATATACATATGTTTGTATATGCATATACAGTGACTCAAACAAATGACCACGTGTTCCAAACTTTATACAAAATTTAGGAAAATTCAACAAACTTTCATCAAAATT